TTTCCCTAGGTGCTCAGCAACCTTGAGGTATGCCCAGGAATGGGGAAGGGGTGAGGTGACCTGGGGGAAGAAGCAGTAACATACCACAGTACCCTGGGAATTCTACATACCGCGGCTTACAAATGCGCAGCCGACTTGTTTGCCTTTGGTTGGATTTTGTGGCTGCAGTTTATATATCAAAGTGCGTATCGTCATTGAACCTCGCTTGGAATGGCCTCCAGAAAAAGAGAAGGCTTGGGTGATTTCTGTTTTCCTTCCAGGGCCAGGAAGCTGGACTGGTTTTGATTTATGTAGGCTGACTTTTGGCATGATGGGGGCTATTGAGTCGCCCTCAAACTTCCTGCAACCTCCTCTTTCTGCCTCTAATTAGGGGACCTTCCCCCTCTGTTCATACCAGGCCTTCATTGCTCCTGTTGCCTCCATTCCCGCTCTGTGCTCTTGGTTAACCTCACTTCTAGCCCAGGGGTTGCCAAGATCTCCTCTTCAAGAAGGGCAAAATGTGCTGCCCTCACTTTTCCTGCCAGGGCTTTGAGTGTCCTGTTCCTGTCTTTACCCACAGCAAAGTCAGCGCTTTCTCATTCTAATCTTTTCCTCCCTAATGTCTTTTGAGGGAAGAAGCCAGGATGCAAACAAGATATGTTTGGAGGCTGTAAGAACACAACCAAGTATCTTGAGTGGGATGAAACCCTAATGATGGGAATGTAGGTCTTTCCTGTTAAAAAAAGGAGGTTTAGGACAGAGAGGCAGAAGTCAAGAGCTGTGATAGCATTCAGTCTAAACTGTAGAAAGCTGCTTTAACCATAGGAGACAGTATTTCCAGCTCCTCCCCCTAATATGGGAGTTACCCCCTGAGCTGTGCACAGAGGTATTTGTTATGGCCAGACAGATCTGCGGAGTCGCACTCCATCTAACGCTGGCCAGCTGGCTGTACTGCCTCGGGCCGTATATGATACAAAGCCAAGCCATGAGGTGGGGAAAAAGTACAATGAGAAGCAGAAAAAAAATTTAAACCAAGCACTTAGCAGGAAAATACTTGGAACGGCATCTCCAAGCTCATTTCTGACCTGGCTGTGACCGGGGGAGCTCACTGGATAGGCTGTTATGGGAAAGTGTGCAGGGCGGTGAGAAAGCAGAAGGTCACGGCTGAGGCATCATAGGTGCCCCTTGCCTGCGCTGAGCTAGCTGGGAAGAGCAGAGCATGCCTGCTGCTGAGGCACCTTACCGTAGGGTACAACTCGAGGTGCAACTGTGTAGGAGAGGACAGCTGGCAGCAAGTTTAAGAGCATGGGTACAGGCAGAACAAGCTGCAGCGGTGTTTAGAAGCCACACAGTCACACTAGCGTATGACAGTGCGCCGAGGCAGCAAGCTGACTGGTCTGTAACTGGCGCAGAGTACAGGCACGGGAACGTGGCTGGTGGTGGTGCCGGGGCCTCTGCTGAGCCCACGGCCAGCCCCTTCGGAGCCCAGCTGGCCTCGGTAGGACCCTGGCTGCCTGCAGGAGCCTGCCCTGCCCTGCCCTGCTCTGCAGCATTGGGTCTCACTAGAGAAAGCAGACAAAGGGTGGAAAAAAGGAAGTGCTATCATCCCCTTTTTATAAAAAGAGGTACTGAGAGTGAGAACGATTGAGTGGGATTTCCAAGGTAACTTCTTTTAGCTCTTATGCTCCAAAGCCATGTTAGGAGGTTATGGTGAACAGGTTCCTCTGGTTTCTGCTGGGTGGTCAGAGTGTAAATGCAAAGGGATGGCTGAGACTTCTAGGACGTGGCAGTCCTAAGAGTGGCACTGCTTTGCATTTCTGTATTCATTGCATGAAGAGTTTGAATCACTTTTTTTTTTGTATTAACTCACTTTTTGATAAATCTCCAACTTCAAGATACTGCTGTCTGAATTCAGAAGTATGCAAGGAGAAACAAACTTGTACCTGATAGTTGTGAGGAGTCAGATTGCTTATAAAACAACCCCCTCAGCTAACTTTACAGGGAAGCACGTGCTAGAAATGCCTTACCAGCAGCTGCTGGCTTTCTTCATAACACAGAACTGGTGGTTCTGCTGCTAGAATGCGACCAACCTCCGAGAAACATCCAGTGTAGTGGTTTGGTCGGGGGCTGCTGCTGCCACTTGGCTTCCACTGGCTTCAGCTGCAGCGACAGCGCGTGATCGATGTGCTTCTTCCTTTCACGTGGAAGTAGCTTAGTTTTGAAGTTGCAGCCACAGGTATCCAGCTGGATGTGCTGGTCTCCGGCGCTGAGGTGGGGCCGCTTCAGTCAAATGTTGTTGCAATCTGTGGCCATCCCAAGGATGGCCTTCAGGGCTTTTCCTACTCTTGACTACCAGCCTTTAGCCGTATGCAAAACCGGAAGCCCACAATGGTTTGAGTCCCAAGAAATTGTGACTATGGCTAGAACCATGGTCTCATCAGCCATTTTAAAAGAACAGTATTAGCAATGTAGTAACTTAGCAGAGTGTAGTTCCTCTGTGCAAGTGCAGGTCCTGCTCAGTGGTTGTTTATGGTTAACTGTGTTTCTGGGCAGGTTGTGTTGTTATCCCCTGCAGAGCCTTGCTTAAATAACAGGGTTGTGTGTAAGAGCACATGGATCAGCCTCATGATTATACATTTGCAGGACTGGGTCACAGTAAACAAGACGAGAGGGAGAAAGAATTTCCCCCTTTCACTTAAGACAAGTGATTCCTATATATTGCCAAGGAAGAATTTGCATTTCTTCTAGGATAGTTATTACAAAGTAGTTGCTCTCCCAAACCGATGAGCAGGCCAAAAGCATTATGCTCCATATGGGGGTCGTTCAGTTGAGATCAAATGTGATATCTATTTTCCCTGTAATATCTGACATATCCTTTATCTGGGGAAGGAGGAGATGGTCTAATTCGCTTTCCCCTGTATAACTGAGATTGTGCATACAAGTCGTGTATAGCATCATTCAGATACATAGACCAAAAATATTTTGAGCAGAAACTTAAGAGGAGAGATGTTACAGTGGTCAAAGAATCCATGTTTGTTTTCTCCTTTTCATTTGTAGTCTGGGCTTGTCCCAAATGCTAAAATGTGTTGTCTAAGAACGTGTTTTAGTTTATAAATCACGGATCAGCTAACTTGCTTTGAGGCATTGTTTTGTTAGGAAGGTTTTGAAGCTTAAGTCTGCCCCGTGGGAATGTGTGACATAGTGAGAAATCTTTTGAGAATGTTTTCTTTTTGATAAGCAAACATAAGGCACAAATAATATTCCTTCTTGCTGTTTTGTTTTCCTGTGTCTGAAGTAGAGGTTTCTGTGTAGTGCATTTGGCATGAGATTGTCAGGTGATAAAAGCTTTGGAATAAAACTTTAGAATGGAATAGAAGACATACAACAATCATCTAGTCCAGCTGCCTGAATTTTTGTCCTTTTAAGATCATTGGTTTTAATGTTGATTTTGTAATAGAAATGCACATCAGATAATGGGACTCAGAGTCTTTGGGTACTTTGGCTATTCCTGCCTCACCGATCTTCTGGCCCAAATGAGTCCCAGTGTAAGAGAATATAATAAACATATGGGAGCAACAGATGAGAGGGCAGGTAGCCCTGTAGGTTAGACCAGCAATTCCCACAGCATCCAGAATGAAGTTGCAGGTATGCATGCAGTGCCTTTCAACTGAATGTAATTGATTGTTTCCAATTAATTGGGCACCCTTTCGTATTTTGATATGACACCCAGCCTCTGCACAGAACTTTTGTTGATATGAGTTTAGAGAAGAGGCCTGAGAGGGTGGGCCCTGCACGTTCTGCCTTCTGCTGAAATGTTGGAGAATAAAGATGCTCGGTGCGAGGGAAGTGCTTCCCCATGTGAATTTCCCAGAGTGCTTGTATGAGTATGTGATTTTTGTAACATGAAAGAGCCCCACTGGCAAACCAGCATCCCCTTTGGCTAGGTACTGTACAAACATTGCCCAGGAAGAAGACAACATATCCCAAGGAACTTAACTGTTTACTTTCTGGATCCCAACAGGTGAAACTGATTGACTACATCCACAGACAACGGCAGTGTAAGCTGAGTGTGCCCCTGAATGACAGGACAGCAGAGCTCAACAGCTACCCAAGATTCAATGACTGGTTAGACATTGTCAATGTGAGGAAAGAAGTTGTACAGGTAAGGGGAAGACAACCCTCAACACAGAACCTTCCTGCCCTTTCAAGACATTCCCAGCTGCCTGCTATGTTTAAGTTAGTTTCCTGCACTTACTTTCAGGCAAGGTGGAAGTATGTGGGTACACAGAGGGACCTTTGGTGGAAAGGGTCCTTCCTGTCTCCTGGAAACAGTGACCACCCAACGGGAGTGCTGAAATACTCTCTTCCCGTTGTCCTCCCTTCTCAGGATAGCATTTGAAGCAATGCCTCACACCTATTGCTCAGTATGAGACAAAGGTCCTGCATTACCAGGACCTCCTCGCCTTCTGCCTCCTAGGGCTGAGAATGATGCCAAACTTAATCACTTACTAACTTTTAGATGATAATAATACTGTACCATACATACATTCTGTGTCCAGTACTAGCCAAAAAAGGACCAAGAGTTACAATTTTGTGCAGTGACATCCAACAAATGGACAAAAATGTTGTGACAGCCTAGAGTTTTCTTATTTCTAAAAGCATATGTGCCACAATTATAAATTAATGAAGATCCAAAAATAGCCAATAGCACTGTGTCCCTCTGAACTTAGACTAGCAAAAGGGATCAGAATTTACAAGTTTGTCCCAGACTGATGGTTTTGAAACTGTGTAGCCTCACACAACACTCAGACTAAAAAATCAAGTGGACTCCAACCTAGTAATGGGCAGGTGGAGTTTGATCTGGATTTTGACTGGGTGGGAGCCTTTGCTCAGAAAAAGAGAGGTTTTTTCATTTAATACACCCCACCACCACCACCCATGAGTAAAGTCTCTAGTTCAAACTGACACCAAAGATCATTGCATCAGTGTAAAAGAATGGAATGAATAACTCTCCTGTGGTGGTCTGTGTGGTGGCCGGTGTCAGCTGTTCATGCTCGCAGACGATGGCTCCTTCTGAGCTTTACAGTTTATTTCTTAATATGCAAAACACTGGAAGCCTCTTTACTGCACAGAATAATCGGATGCTTCTGGAATCGGAAACGACCAGATAAGCCAAGGTCCCCAGCTCCTCTCTCTCTCTCTCAGATTTTATTCTTTTCTGGAAGAGGAGCCTGAAATCCTGGCAGCGTTTAGGTGCTTACTGGGAACTCCAAGACTGCAGGGCACTGACATGAGATTGTTCCCTTGGGTCTGGTCTGTGCATGGCTTCCCCATGCTGTTCTGTACTGGGGACAGTCCAGCTCAGTGTAACATTAATGGCAATGTAAGTAGAGCTCAGTCCACTGATGGCTAAACAAAGCAGAAGAGGTTTTTTCCATTCTTTTTCCCATTTTTGGCTCCGCAGGCCAGATCACAGTGTTCTCATTCGGTTGCCGTTGACCCTTACACAAGCAAAAAATGTTCTTTGACTTCAGCAGGGATCCGCCTGAGTGAAAAATTCAGCAAATTTTCATGGAAGTTATTCCAGCTTGGTCCCAATGTAACTGAGCAGACTCTGGTAAAATAGGATGAGCTCAGGACCGAGTTGTTCCTTTTATTTACTACTATTTATTTTGAATGTTATGCTGCATATTGCCTTCCAGCCCAGCAAGGTTTTGGGCAGCACAGCTGAAGGTGCAGCAGTGACAATGAGAGAACAGAAAAGCAGCCTGGTGCTGTGGCCAAACTGCCAGGGCCACAACTATTGTTGGTTTCTAAGGTTACTGGAATTGCCTGAGCCGAAAAGAATGTCTTTGTAGCTCTTTTTTAAATCCTTTGTGATGCCTGGAGAACGGGGGGAAGGGAAGAGGTGAAGAGGAGGGGCGGAGGAAGGGGGAGGGAGGTGGACAGTTCAAATCTGTCACATCCTGCTAATTCTGGGAGCAGAGTTGAGACTGCCCTTCAGTTTGTGTGGTCACTAAAAAGGGTGAGCAAATTCGGGTTTGGTCCAAGGCAGGAAGAGAACATATTCCAACTGTTTATTCGTTTTACTCGTGCCCTCTTGCACGCATACAAGAGATATACAAAGCACTTAAATTCCTCTGTGATTCCAAATGCAGGGTTATTTTTTAAAAGTCCTGCATCCGTTTCATGCAGGTGCAGACAGCTTCTGTAGCATTTATATTAGCTGGACAGAACTGCAACACCCATTGGGTCATGAAACATTTCTGAGTAGGCATGCTGGAACAGGCTGTAATCTGGGGGAAATGGAAATAGCTGGCCTAATAAACCAATTGCTCTGTTCTTGCAGTGATTTTTATTTTTTTTTTTGTTTTGTTTTGTTTTTTTGTTGGTCCTGTTATTTCACTGCTTGGAAAATTGTGGCACGGACATCAGCTGACAGGGCAGGGGAGATGTTTGTCTGTGATGAGTTGTCTCTCAGAAATGTTGCAGGTGTCATGGGATTGTTCCTGCTGTTGCTTAGATTTTATACAGCATGTGAACTGCAATTCAGCTGAATGCTTTCACAATGGAAATCACTGACAGAAGGAGCTTTAATAGGTTAGCTATTAAGAAATATATAATGGTTTCCCTTCGCTTTATGCACACTGCCTGTGACACGACTGGGGAGGGAGGTGGTTAGGGAGCCTTTAAAGAGATGGCTGAGTAGGTCAGGCAATGAAAACGGGGACACTTGAGTCCCATTCCTGAGTCTGTGGCTGGTGTACAAGATACACCAGAGAACGACTTCCCATCTCGAGGATACTGTTAGCTCGCTGTAAAACTGAAATAGGCATACTGGGTTTCCTTCTTAGTGCTTCCAAAAAGTGCTACAGAGAGAAAGGAAACCCCACAAGCTGTGATAGTGTATTCATGTTAGGCACGTAGCCCTCTCTCCTTGAGACTTTTAGGCTCTGAAGGTAGTTGGAGAGGTCGCCAGGTACCTATAGTCTCGGAGAAGAGATGCAACGCAGCCCTCTCCTGTCCACTCTGAGGTCTAAACAGAAACAGCAGGTACAACGTGGGAGGTGTGCGTGGGTGACGGGCTGTCCTGCGGCCCATGGCTTGTTCGTGTTTATTTGCTCTTTGAAATGGTTCTGATTCCCTTTGCATTTCTAGTGTAGCTGGAGGGATTATTTCAAGATTGTGCTAATCTGTGACATAACACCTTTGAAAAACAGCCTAATTGCAAGCAGTTTTTTAGCTCAGAGGTTAGAGAAACAATGCTCTTTTTCATTCTCACTCCCCTCCTCCCCTCTCTCCCCCCCCAGTCCTCTCCCAAATAAAGCTGCCATGCAGGGAAGCACAGAAGCTCCCAGGCTCTCCTGTCAGAAATAGAGCACCAGCTCTAATTTAGAATATCTGCTGACTCCTCTAGTCCAGAGTGAAGACTATTTTTGCTCAGCGACTTGCTCTAGACATTGTGAAGCTTGAAAGCTCTCGCTGTTATAATTGCTGTCTTCTTGTCGGGCTCCTTTCTTTCTTTGAAAACCTATATTTAAAACATGAATAATGACTGCTTGTAAAATCCTTTAGTTCTGAAGGAGATTATAGTAATAACAATGCACTGTTTATGGCATTGGGCAACAGCTAAAACTCCTGTGAACATGGATAACAGTCAGCCGGTCACGCTGCGTAGAGTGAAAGGGCTGTTCTGTGTGGACCTAGCAGACTTGGAGGTAGGTGGTGAATACAAGCTTCAAGTTTATGATCCTGTTTGTTCTCTGTGATACACAATTCTGAGGGGTAAGGAAACTTTGAACCCCTTCCCCAACTTGTGCTATTTGTTTCTTTGTTATGTTCATCTAACTGGTTGCCAGACAGATTTTTGTCATAGAAAACGGTGGCGAGTGCGAAACAGGCTGTGTTTTGGAGCTGGGCTAGTATTGTTTTGTAACTTTCTTTTTAAGTATTTTTCTAGGAAATGCTGGAGTCCTTGGTTTTGGCTAGGAATCCTAGAGATTGATTAGCACTGTGTACATGTAGTTTAATGCTGTAAATGATGCATAAATGGTTAAATATGGTGGATTGAAACTGGGAAAAGAGATACTTGAACTGAGAACGAGAAAAGGCAGGACAAGCAACCATACAGACAGAAGCTGTATTTAAGCTATAGAGTGGTCTTCAGTGGGTAAAAGTCGCTCTGAAAATGGAACTAGAAGAATATATGGCTCTGGATTGTCCTGCTCCCCTTGAGAGTTGGAGTCAAGAATTGAGGGGGGGAGTGGGAGGGAAGGAGGATGTGAACAGAGCACTGTCCCCACTCTTACGCAGATGGAAGAATTCTCTTGCAGAGCTAATTACTAGGGTCTGGGCTTGGGCCATGTCTACTGAAAAAAAAAAAAAAAAAAGATTATAAAATCTCTATTGGTTTATTTTCTTTAGCACAGGAAAAAATCCTCTCTGTCTTCACCCTTGTTCTTCCCAGAAATGTCACTATTATATTTGTTCCCACATGTAACTTGTGACCATCTTAAAAAGTAACTTAAGAACACAGTCATCTCCTTATCTTCTGAAACATGTCTGAACCAGCCCTGCTCACCATGTAGCAGGGGTTCCAGTCAATCAAGTTTGGAAAGCTGTTTTTAGAGTAGGTAACTGTCATGCACAGGGAGGGGCAAATCCTGCCCTAGTGATTGCTGGCTATAAGCAGAACTTTGCCACCAGGGAGACTGTGTGGGAGCAGATGAAACATAACTGTGGTTGGGTCTAGTTTATGGCTGTTGCATTTTGGGAATGTATTTGACTCCCAATTTTTTCGTAGTACCTCCTTTTTGCTTATGAAACTGGTCTTCGTTCCACATTTAGCATTTATGCCAAAAAGACCTACTTTCTTGTAAGTAGTCAAGAGTGGATCCTGAGCAAGCCAGGGGCAGCGATTGCCGCACTGGGGAGCAGAGCTGGAAAGGCTCATGCCTTGAGTAGGAATTGTCTGTTGAGTCTCCTGCTGCTCCTGTGAAAATCTGTAGAGGATGAGGCGTTGGCATAGGGTTGACTATGAGACCATGGCAGATGGTTATGCTTGCCTGGGCTGTGATCTAGCCTGTAGCAGATCATTCTGATCAGTTGCTGGAGGAAAAGTGTGGGGTTTATGTGTGTGCATCCTTACTTTCGTTGGGAGAA